CTAGTTCAGTTAAAAGTAGCGTATTGAACCGCAAAACTGCGTTCAGTTTGAACCTGCCCGATTCGTGAACGAGTCGTTTGTTTGAGGTGAATCTTTTCGATGAATCTGTTGAACCAGTTCACAAGATCTCAACGATTCACTGTGCTATCAGCTCTAGTCCAGCCAGGGACCGCCAAATTTGATGATCTTTGAAATGTTCATTGATCCTGAAAAGGTCATATTATAAATGTATTTAAAATAGCTATTGTTTGGAAAATATTTAGTTTCTATTGTGTTACCTTATGTTTTTTCTAATCCCTACTGTACTGTACTTATTTAGTATGTATTTATTTATTAATCAAATCGATTTTTATTATTTATTATTGTAATCACATTTATTTAGTTAGTTGGTTTAATTTTATTATTTATTTTTTACACTGTTACTCATTCACTCATTCAACTGTGAAACATCTCTTTTAGAATTGTCTCTTTCCTGTGACAGATTTTTACCTGTGCTCAGATTTTAAAAATGCAACTTTTAAGCTATTTTTCTTCAGTTTCAGTGTTGTTATAGTTACTATGTTCTGCCACATTTTCATAGCTATAGGTCATTGATCAGCAGGTCAGTATTTAGCATGCCAGATGAAAGTAATATGTTTAATAATTATGTGCTGGTTGATAATGTGAAAAGTGTTATGCTTTCAGAGGGCCAATGGTTGGTTATTATAACTCCTATCAAATCACCAATGTGTGCTAGTCACTTAACCCAGATTTTCAGAAAAGAGTTCCTAGAAATCTGTGTACTTAAGTCAATGGAAAGCATCTGCTGTGGTAGTTGGCAAATTTGACTCTACTAAATGGAAGGAGAGCAAATCTCCTAAAACCCACTGATTCTGATCTAAAAGATAATTGCTTAGGGGGAAATAATCATACGAGGCAATGGTTTAAGGGCCAGTAGTTTAAACAGGGAAACAAAGTAAACAGTTGTTGTTTGAGTGTGTCTTACCTTCTCTCGTAGCCCATGCACCAGCGCTGAGAAGAGCAGCCCTGCCTCCACACCTTCACCATTCGCGTAAATGCCTGAACGCATGGTTGCCTCACCCCCAGCATAGACATCTCCTGCTCCTCACACACATTCGGCCTGAGAAATAGTGAAAATTATACTATACAAAAACCCATGGAACCTAAAGGAATAGTTCACCCAAAAATAAAAATTTGCTGAAAATGTACTTAACCTCAGGCCATCCCAGATGTAGATGAGTTTGTTTCTTCATTGGAACATATTTGGTACCCATTCACTGCAGAGGATCCATTGGTGAATGCTAAATTTCTCCAAATATGTTCCAATGAAGAAACAAACTCATCTTGGATGGAGATAAGTACATTTTCAGCCAATTTTCATTGTTGGTTGAATTTTCTTTAGGACCGTCTCAACTTCTGTCTCAAATAGATGGCCTGATCCAATTTTGGTCTTCCTCAGTTTGGTTATGTAATGTTGCATGGATTGTTGGATAGCAGTTCGCTGTGAAATCCAGACCAGTGGGGGCACATTAAGGTTAAATGAATTGCACATAGGGGGTGCTCGTGAGCAACATCATGAACTATAAAACACATGCAATAACATGAAAAACAAAGTCTTATTTGCGACAGGGCCTCGAACATCAAAACTCCTTCTTTAGTGATGATGTCATAATTACCCATCCTGTTCACATGCTAAAAAAAAGCATTGTTAATTTCAACATAAATGCTCACAGAAGAACACGTATGTGGGCCAACATATGTGTACCCTATTGTCAGCTGAGAGTGTGCAGACTTTTTTGCATCCTTGCACAATAATTTGTGCAAGGATGTAACCACATAAGGACTTGGGGACTAAATGTAATAATTACAAACCCTAAATAGTGGACAAAGGGAAAGTTGGCTTTTTAGAGTAAAAAGAGCATTTATATCTGTGCTGGGTCTTGATGTTCTGCATTTGTTTATTATGTCACTACACGGATATGTAGAAAAACTTTAATGAGTTGGGCTCTTTTCATGCTATGGCGTTATGAGCCATTGAGAAAATAAATCAATAATCTGCTCTTAGATCTTGTGGCTGCGGAAACAGCTCATTTTAGGATGTTGACACAACGTTCTCACAGCTTGTAAAGTCTGATGCTGCAAGAACACATTGAACCACATGTTCAAGATCCAAATGATCATTTGCACAAACACACAAATTTAACTATAGTTATATTTAAAATATTAATATAAATACTGATAAATAATAAAATAACTGTGTTATAGACTAAGCCAAATCCTACCGCCGAAAGATTTTTTTTTAATTATTTTTATAATTCAAACAGTATGCTGTCATTTATGAATAGATTTTCCAATTGAAAATATACCTGAATATTTCCAATGGGAGGTTTTCTCACAATTAGACCATTTTAGGGATAATTTTGGTCGTAAAGTATAGCTAAATACATACACACTCAACTTTTCTTCACTTCTCCTTACAGCCATATATGTCAGGAGCTTTTCGTTGATTTAAACCTTTCTTATGGTTGTCCAAATGTTAGAGCAGCCTATTCACAGCTCAGAGTATGGAATATTGCTGGGAATGCTTTTCACCTTCATAAATAAATCAGGATATTGCAGAATGATTTGTTATAATCCATCTGTGACAGTCTGCTTCTTAAATTCTTGATTTTAGTTTTATAGACTGAGTCTGGGCTCTGCCTCAGAGGGTCCTGTTCTCTCTCAGGTTGCTTCCTATGACCATCTGGGCTTAATACAACACATCCTGAGTTCATTAGGGGGCTCGCAGATAAACTGCACAGTCACACACCGGATCAGCCCTGGAGTTAGAGTGTCAGAGACTCGGGGAGGCGTTGATTCACTGGCCTCAGTCACACTTAACATATTTACAAATTCTTACAGTGCAGTATTTGAGTCCATTTGGAACAATACATTTTGTTTAGATAAACGTAGCCTATATGTACAAATTCAAAACATGATAATCAAGTGTTCACAGAATAAATTCAATTATTTGATAATCATTTATATTTGAATATCTTTTCACATTTCAAATGGACTCTGGCGCTTTTGGCGACACCTAGAGAGCAATTAAATCACTACAGAAATAACGCATTATTTAATTAGATTAATTGTCAGTGAACCTTCCCAATTATTGTGCTATACCAAAACAAAGCGCTAACAGTAAGAAACCAAGTGAATTAATTGTTGTTTGTTATTATTAATAATAGGAATATGAAACTAATTAAGTAATTAGTAGGCTATATATTGTTATTTATCATCATTAATAGTAATTTGAACATTAAGTAATTTGAAAACTCACAGATAAACATTTCATAAGCGAAATGGTTTCAGTTGGTGTTACATTTTCTTAAAAACACTGGTAGCACATTTACTATTTAACCTGTAATGAGTACTTTAATAACTAAAAATAACTTTAATCCCTAAAATATATCATGCATGTTCTATGTGAACATGAACATTTCTATTAGGCTAATTAAAACGTCAAGACATTACTTATTATTTGAATGTACATTAATGATCATTATGATAGCCTATGTAACATGTAAATTCTTATTAATGTTATTAATTAAAGTTATCTTAAAAGTGCTTTCTTTGATTATTTTAAAATAAAACATAGTTTGTTTTGTTTTACACATGTTGGAATTACGTTTCAGATACGAATATCCCGTGTATGACTTTTGCGACCACAAAACATGATTCAAAATAAATATAATATAACTCACATGTCGGGCTGCAGGTCCAGTGATGCTGCGCCGTTCAGAGACACGATCACACAGCAGAGGAGAAGCGTCACGGAGCAGCACATCGTAAACTTTACAGCATCCACATGCAGCAAACACTCTTCAGGGCTTGTGGTCAGCAGGTTTCAGGGGCCCACCGTCCACTTTAAAGTGTCCGATCACTTCATTATACACGAGTAAGGTGCTGTAGTTAATACATTTATGAAAGCACTAAAGCTTTTCTCCTTGCATCGAGCATCCTAGACGTCCTGGAGCTGGTATCCTCAACTGGGAGCTCACTGAGACAGACTGGACAATCGCTCAGCGCTCTTCCAAGCACACACACACACACACGAGCGCGCGCGCAACCACCAGGGGCCACGATGGAAACACGACGCCCCCATAACATTGCTGTTGTTTCTCAAATTCTGTGTGTTTTACATGTATGAATATTCTTTTGCTTTTGTAATACTACAATACAAACCAATTAGATTTTATTCTACTAAATGTAAATGTTTTGTGTTGCGCCTAGTCATTATTCCATGTGAAGTAACAGAAAATGTACCATTTACCACAACTTAACGCGTCTAATCAGCAGTGTTGGGGAGTAACTAGTTACATGTAACGGAATTACGTAATTTAATTACAAAATAAAAGTAATCGTAATCAGTTACTGAGAAAAAATGTGTAATTAAATTACAGTTACTTATGAAAATGTTAAGGAAAATATAAAGTGTCAGACTTACTTCTTCTGGAGGTGCAGCTGGATCACGAACACTAGGTACTGATCTATCCTTGAGTTTTAACTTTTTAACAAAACCTGCCTTGAAAATCAAAACGACTTGATAATTGAGACTGTTTAGGATTTTGGGGGATTAAAAAAACAGGAGTGAATGGATTTTTATCATTTTAGGGTGGTTGTGTCCACACACTGCTAAGATACATTTATATGCAAACACCATGTAATGGTGGATCGTGCTTTTTAATGTAATCAAAAAGTTAAAAAAAACTTTAATAGAAATAATTATTTAAAAAAATGTTCAAGACTTTTCCATCACAGTTGTAATTTGTGTATTTCCTGTTTTGTGACTGAGGGAATGCAACCCACAATAAACTTAAACTGAAAATGATGTACAGACTGTGATAATTAACAAACTTTCGCCAGAAGAGAAGGTGAAAACGCGTGACTTTTAAATCACATACAGAGAGACTTTTATTTTGAAAAGCACTTCTTACGCTCTTTTAGTTTATCAGCGTCCGCCAGCTTCACGCATGTCTGGGTTGATCTGGTCTGTGCTGTACTGCGGGATGATTGTCTATTTCTAAACAAAAGCAGCTCAAAATAGTCGCATTTCACTTTAACGTGTCTAATCGGTCGGCGGATCTGATCTCGGTGAAGGTATGTGTCTGAAAGATTTGTGATGTGGTTTTCGGTCATGCTTTGACCCTTTTATCAGCTGTCATTGATGTACTCTGGGGCCCTGATGTGCTCATCATCTATTTCCCGTTTTTACGGCCCAAATATGACACATTAAAGTACTAAACCTTGTTATGTATTTTCTGTTTGTTTTGAATTGATCCACCCAAACATTCAAAACAAAATATTACAAGTGCTTTTACTGTAGTAAGTTACTGCTGCTGTCAGTGCTGCCTTGTATCCAGCATAAATGAAACCAAAGAAAAACGCCCATATTGATGTTGTTTTTTGTTGTCTGACTTTCTGAAACACAATCCACAATAGCATTCAGTAGACATGCACTCTAAGAGATTAAACTTTGGAGCAGCCAGTGTATTCAGTGGCATTTTGCTTCCTGAAATAGTTGATCTCATGATCCAACCACAAGCTACAGATGACGGCTGCTTTTCTTTCTGTGCTTCATTTTAGCCTGAGGATCTGGGCATGACAGTGTGTGCATTGCTTATTTATCTATATTACATACATGTGGTATTATTTAGTTACCACACAACCAAGCTTTCTGTCTTATGAGCTCTTTTTGTATTAGGGGTAAATGTCACAGGCCAGGTAAGACAACCTGTGATTCCGGTTTTGCAGTATGAGAGATTCTGATGCATGGTTTGCTGTTTGGAAGTATTTCATTTTATAATTTGGAAGGAAATATAAGAGATCGCCTTTGGATTTTTCTTTGGATTAAGCATAACAAAACTAGATCATTTAGAAATAGTGTTGTTATTGTGAACTGAAACTAAATCTAAATTGTTTTTGGTAATTGAAATAAAACTTGAACAAAATATAAATATTAGTTGAAAAATGTAAAACTAAACGAAAAATTTAAAATGAGAAATGCTGCCTTGGCAAAAAGTGAAAAAATAAATAAATTGTATTATAATTATAAATTAAATAAAGTAACAAAATGTACTAAAACTGATATATAAATAGATTAAAGCTTAATAGATATATATTAAAAAACACAAAAATAATAAAAATTACAAAAGCACATTACAAAATTACTAACACTTTAATTAAGATGAAAAAAAATTAAAAGCGAGTGTAAAATACGAATAAATGCTATAATAGTATAAAGATAATACTAAAACAATAAAAAATAACTATGATTACCTATGTAATAAAATGCAAGATGGATATAAAGGACCTTTTTCAGGATTGTAATCTGGCTCCTAATCTGGGCTGCGTTTCTCAAGAGCATCATAAAATAAGTTGATCTTACAGACCATTGGTGGCAATGGTTCTACGATCTACTTAGGGTTACGATACTTTTGGGAAACGCTGTCCTGACGTGAAACATTTTTCAGTACAGTACAAGAAAGAATTAAAAGAAGAAAATATCAAAACGTTGTGTGCATCCATTAAAATTGTATTTGATTCTTAGAGGATTCCTATTTGATTCCATTTGATTGGTTTCAATGTATGATAAAATTCCAATAGGAATTGTGCACGTTCCTTTAGAATTTTTTTGATTGATTGACATGTTTAGGTCCTCACATCACAGCCCTCCTCCTCTTTTTCCCTGTAGATGAATGGAGCGGCGTTCCCCTCTCCCACAGCCGAGATGGCGGAGATGAACCGGATCCACTATGAGCTGGAGTATACAGAGGGCATCAATCAGAGAATGCGTATTCCTGTGCAGCTGAGAGTGGCTCCGTATGAGCACGAAGAGCAGGAACTTCCAGAGCATGAGACGCTCCACACGGCAATGATGCACGTTCCCGAGAGAATCGTGGTGGCAGGTACGAGATGGGAAGATCTTTGCACATTACAGTGGGATATAGTGCAGTGATGACGTATTTTTGTAGGCCAGCCCAGAAGTTGGCATCACCCTGGGCTGCGTTTCCCAAAAGCATTGTAATCATAAGTTGATCATAGCTCCATTGGTGACAATTGGTTCTATGATCAACATAGGCTTACGATGCTTTTGGGAAACGCAGCCCTGGTTCTCTCGTCAAAAACCCAATAGGATTTTTCCATTGGCTTTTGGATTATTGCAGAAAATAGGCCCTGTGACCAACAAAAGTTCATGATACTCACATATTTTTTTCATCATGAAAAATTAACACAACTTATATGACTTTTGAAATCTAAATACAAACACCAGAAATAAAAAGCTAAACATATAAGTGGCTATAAATGAACTACACCACAGTCTCACAACTTTAACATCACAACTAAGCTTCTGACAGCTTTCACTCTATATTTGAAAAAAAAAAAACTTTTTTTCCTGAAAGTTAGAATAGTTTGCAGGAGTGTGATTTTAAACACAATGATGCTGTAATTTAGACTAGTAAGTTTGATGTATTTTATGTTGTAGAATAAAATGTGAAAATTTTGTAAAGCACAGACCTTTTTTAGACATTTAACCATAAACCCATTGAAGAAACCAAACAAATGTGTGATAAACACAAAAAAGATATAGAACTGAATATGGCCTACAAAAATGTCATCCCTGCAGCACTATATTACATAAAAAATAACAATAAAAAATGTAAAAATTCACAAAATCAAAAATCCCCCCCCCAAAAAAAACTCAATTTTAATTCTGTCTTTATTTACTCTCCCTCATGTCGTTCCGAACCTGTATGACTTTTTTTCTGTGAGACACAAATATATATATACTGTATATATATATATATATATTAAATATTCCTTGTGTTTTTTTGTCTAGACAATCAAATGTAGTTTTGGACCCCAGTGACTTTCATTATAAAAAAATAAAAAAAACAGTTCTTCAGAATATCTTCTTTTGTGTGTTACATAAAAACAAAAGTCATACATGTTTGGTAAATTTCATTTGCTGACCAATTGTCAAAGGGTTGAATATCTGATCATTTGTTCAATCTTTTTTTTCAGGAGACAGTGGTGACATGCAGTTTCCCAGAGATCTAGACCTCATCCAGTTCACCCAACTGGAGTCAACACTGTCCCTCAAGACACCACCTCGGGTCCTGACACTCAACGAAGGGGCCATCGACTTCCTCGAAATGGAGCAGCCGATCTCCGCCAGTCAGCTCAGCGAAGAAGTAAGTGGGACAGACCAGCTGTGTAAATGTGACCGGTAACGAACGTCACTAAAAAAAAGAACAACAGTGTGTCAGCTTGGGTTTAGTAAAATGAGGAACACCTGTCCACTTTCGTTTTCTCTGCTTCACACAGGTGCGCACGCAATCCAGGACACGTAGAGAGCGCTCGGTCAGCGAGAACACAGGTGTGCATCACAATGGCCAGCTCGCCAGAAACGACTCCATGTGAGTGCAAAGCCACAAATACACACGCATACGTATTTCTGTTTCACCTCTGGCCCTCTCACTCCATTATGTGTTTTTTCCTTCTCCCTGGTGTCTCTCTTTCTCCCTTCATGATGCTGACTCAAAGGGGGTGAGTTAGAACCATGCATGTGTATTGTATAGTTTCAAGCCCTTTCAGTTTGGCTTTTGTGCTTTTTTAACTTCAGTGCATGTTGTTGCATGTACAGGAGTGGCACGATCACACTTGTCAGTCATGGTCGAGACCAATTTTATCACAATATAAAACAACTTGTGATATTGGTTAGAGTTGCTTTGTCAGTCAATTTCTCTCATGCTGTGACTGCTTGACAGCTTTATTCTACTCTATTGTTCTCTATTCTATTCTAATGAATGGCCACTTCTGGCATTGAGAAGCTGTTCACACGGAGGGTTTGTACTTAAAAAAAACAGATCAGTCATTCTCCTTCAACCAGTTGTTTGCTTGTTTTGACATGGAGTTTTCTGATTGGCTGGTCTGTCAGTGAAAGTACGTAAACCCACCATTGACCAGCATCTCTTTTTCTTTTTCTAGACCCCAATAAAATGAGGACTAGTACAGCTTCTGCTACTAATCTAAATGCGTCACGTCCATCAGCCAAACTGTGTTTTATCAAATTTTACTCTTAATTTAGTTTTTGTAAAAAACAACATTTTAACAGAATCATAATGTACTAATATTACATAATATAATATAACATATGCACACTACCGGTTCAAAAGTTTAGGGTCAGTATATAAGAGATTAATAATTTTATTTAGAAAGGATGCATTAAATTGATCAAAAGTGAGTGTAAAAATATTTATGGTGATACAAAAGATTTCTATTTTGAAAAACAATTATGTTCTATTTATCAAAGAATCCTCAAATAAAAGTATCACAGTTTCTATGAAAACAATTAGACAGCACAGCTGTTTACAACATTGATGATAATCAGCATATTAGAATGATTTCTGGAGAATCATGTGACTCTGAGCATTGGAGTGATGGCTGTTGGAAAATCAGCTTTGCATCACAGGAATAAATTACATTTTAAAATAGAAAATATCTCTGTATATAATATAACTATGTACTGTATAACATATAACATACTATAACTGTATGTAATATAACTGTATTTTAATCAAATGCATGCAAATACTCCTTGGTGAGCATAAGAGACTCAAATATAAAAATCCTACCGACCCTGAACTTTTGAATTGTAGTGTATTTAATTATTTAAAGGGGTCATATGATGCGATTTCAAGTTTTCCTTTCTCTTTGGAGTGTTACAAGCTGATTGTGCATAGATAAGATCCCTGAAGTTGCAAAGACTAAAGTCTCAAAACCAAAGAGATATTCTTTATCAAAGTTAAGACTCTGCCACGCCCCCCTAAAACGGCTCGTTCTAACATACACAAAATAATTATCTTTAAAAAAAGCATCATATGACCCCTTTAACAATATTAACTAATACAATAGCAATAAACAAAATTAACTCAATACACAAAATCGTCAATACACTTGTTCACCGTTACATCAGTAATTAATTACACAAAACCTGTCAAGAACATGTCCAAGTCTTATTTTACCTCAAAAATTAAAAGAAAGAACTAATTAATATTTGCTTAAAGATAAAAACGATTTTTTAAACAATTCAAAGGCTATAATATAAAAATATTATTGTACTATACAATAACAATGTATATATGATAAAGTATTTTTAAATAAAACTATATGTATTATTATATATAACCCTTATTCTATACAGATTATAAAATAACAAAAAATGGAAGCATGATGCACTCTAAAAAATGCTGGGTTAAATACAACCCAGCGCTGGGACTGCATTTCAACTGCTGGTTGAAAGCAACCCAATCGCTGGGTTTGTCCATATTTTACCCAGCGCTGGGTTGTATTTAACCCAGCATTTTTTAGAGTGTGTATGAACAAATGTGCTTAATTAATAATAATATAAAAAAATTTCCCTCTATTTTTTTTCTTTTTCTTTTTTTTAAGAAAAATTAGGCTGTTGAAATTTGACCTGGACATGAGATTCACCTAACAAATACCTGAGCTGTTTTTGATGTGCACTATTTTTAAAGCAGACCACTTTATGGATCTCAGAGATGAAGTTGTGTCAGTTTGAATTAGTGTGGATGGATTCTATGGTTCAGTAAACAGCCTCATCGTTAGTCTGATGTGAGATCAGCCGTTTCAAATCTGCTTTTGAGGTTGTGATACTCAGAGATGGCTTTGTGTGTTTGTGTTGTTAAAACGATGAGATTTTGCTTGTTTGGGCTTGTTGAAGGCTTGTGAACCTTTTGTATATATGGTGAGGCTGTTGCCCATCTGTTGCAGTCTTTATTTTCTTCCTCCGACTTCTATTTCATTCTTTCTCCTTTTATTTCTTTCTTTCTGAAACCTAAAATTTGTTTGACTTTCTCTCTCACTTGTATCTCCTACTTTTCCTCTCTTGTTCTTTCGTTACCCCCCCCTCTCTCTCTCTCTCTTTCTCTGTGGTTCGGTCAGTATGACTCCCTCCCCCTCTGCTGCATTGCGCACTATGGCTCCTCTCGGTGGTGCCGAGGATGGGTATAACCTCTTCAGCGCCCACGGCGTCCTTTCCTTCATCCAGTCAACCACACGTCGGGCCTACCAGCAGGTCCTGGAGGTCCTGGACGAGAACCAGCGCAGGTGACCTTTGACATCAGACCCCTGAATCTGCCCTGAGAGACTGACTTTTGGCTAAATTAGCTGTTGCTTCACCGATTACCTAATCAGATTAATCCAGGAACAAAGTCCTCTACGACTGATAGACGTTCACGTGTCATTCTGATAACAAACTGATTTGGAGAGAAAATGCACTGACAGACAAACAATTCTCCTTTCAACTGCAAAGCACAAAACCATACGTATTAACATTTTAGGAGGTAGTTTGTTAGACGACAGCTTTATCCCCGTGTTGTTTGCTGTTGGATGTGGACACGTTGCTTTCTTAAACTCCCATTTCTTTCTCAGCCTCTCGGTTTGGGGTTTTATGTTTAGCATGAGTAGAAATGCGCACAAGATTTTATTTCTTTCTCTTTTGTTGGAATCCTTTCTTTTAGATTTCAGTTAAATGTATTCACAAGCAGTTTGTGGCATTGCAGTATAGTTTATAAAGAAATGTTTGTGTTCTTTACAAGTTTAATCTATATGCTGTATTTTTGGTTACACGAGAACTTATTTTTTTTATTATTATATTTTACTACTGTATTATTCCTTAAAATATACACAGACACCTTTATTTTATCAAAAATACAGTAAACAGTAAAATTGTGAAATATTATTACAATTTGAAGTAACTGTTGTTGTAACATTTTAAAATGTAATTTATTGCTGTGATGTAATTAATTTAGCAAATGTCATTTAAGCTGAATTTCTTGCAGTCATTACTCCAGTCTTCAGTGCCATGTGATCCTTCAGATATCATTTTAATATTTCTTATTATCATTGTTTAAAACAGTTGTTTTTTTTTCTTTGGTAAACGATATTATGCCACAAATGCTGTGAATTGAAACGGCCTTAAATTGAATACAGAACATTCATTTAAATTTGGTTTCTGTGAATACCTGCACAGTTGGTATTCATGAGCTCATTTCCTGTGCCTTACTGCCCTGTGACCTGCTTGGCTTCTCATTAGTAGCTTTCAGAATGGCATTAACTTCAGTTCCACTGACAGGCACTACACTAAACTGTAGGTTTGTGTAAAACCACTGTCTGAAAATGAGACTACATTTTTTGTGTTTACATCCGTGCAGTTGGCTGGTTTACCATAAAATCATAATTTCTTTTGCGAGGTTTATTTGATTAGAAAATGTTGACACGGTTTGTGAGACAAAGACCACCTGCAGTAGCTATATACATATTATATGCCAGTTGAAGTGCATGTTATTAAAGTTGTCTGTCTGTCTGTCTATGTCTTCTTTTGTCCTTTCCCTCTCTCACTTTCTCCATATCCGCTTCTCAGCAAGCCATCTCTTAGAGGGGGTTCAACCCTCTCTAACCCCCATCATGACAACAGGTAACTTCCTCTCATCTCTTCCCTCTCATCTGTTTTTTTCCTCTCGATTTGTTTTTCTCTCTGTCCTCTCAATACAATCTCAGTATCTTATGAAATGAAATAATGTTTTTGACAGGCATGCCCTGGCCACACTGGACTCGACTCTGGAGGGAGGAACAGACGACATGGCTGTTGTGGACGCCACCTCTCTACGCAGACAGGTATTATTCTGCTGCTTAATATTGTACAGGGTTTTAAAAAAATACATGCAAAAGAAGAATTAAAAAAATGTAAAACAATTTTATGTACACTACCATTCAAATGTTTTTAAAGAAGTCTCTTAGGCTTACCAAGGCTGCATTTATTTTATCAACAATACAAAACAGTACAAAAAATTATTTGTTATATATTTAACATTATAAACGTCTGTACTCACACTTGTGATCAATTTAATGCATCCTTGCTGAATAAAAGTATTAATTTCTTTCAGTAAAATCTTACTGACCCAGAATTTTTCAACAGTAGACTGTGTAATTGCGCAATACTTGCTTGACCTGAAAAATGGAGGGGTTTATTCATTTCTTTGATTTTTTGTCATTACAGATTGTCAAGCTGAACCGGCGTTTGCAGCTCTTGGAGGAGGAGAACAAAGAGAGAGTCAAGCGAGAAATGATCATGTATTCCATCACTGTAGCTTTCTGGCTTATCAACAGCTGGGTTTGGTTCCGTCGCTGAAGCTACATGGACTCTGCAATGTGGGAGGGGCAAAATCAAAACTCCGCCCCTCTGTTCTATGTGTCAAACTTTAGCCGTATTTTTTTTAATGGCTAAAATGTTTTATTTTCTTCACAGTAAGAGCGGTAAAGTCAGAGATAGCTTTTGTGTTGTTCTTTGGGTTTGTCTGTCTGGTTTCCTTTTATTATTATAAATATGTATTTATACTTTTTTTTTATTTGTACAACTGTACAATTGTTCTTTTTCTTGGTTTTGTACATTTTTCCTTACTTTTTTTTGTTTCTGTTTTTTTTTTTTTGCGTAAGTCAAGCATGAACAAGATGTATATATTACGTCACCTGTCTTTGAGCTTTGGGTGTAATCATTTATTTTTCCATAGGTTTACTGTACAAATTAGTACAATATTATGTCAACTTTTACAAAGACCAATGGAATGGAATGCACTGATATGGCATAGTCAAAAGAAAAGCATATAATATTAAATAATAAGAATATTTACAGACTGTTGTGATTTTAGGTGCATTATGTACATCTGTATGTTACTTGCATCGACATAGAAACCATACTTGTTAAGTGTGAGTTTAGTCCTGGTCATTATTTATGTACATTATTATAATTTGCTGATGTTGTTATTTCTGCTCGTTTTCTGCAGGATATTACTGAAATGATACACATTCGGTTTTCCTCTCACAGAGCCATGAACATTGTATTACAAACGCTTTTATTTGAATAAATGACAACAGTAGTGAACTGCACTCTCTTGTCTGCTTTTAATCTTCTGGATTTGCTTGATTGTTTAATTTCTGAAGATGAAGTATAATTTTTGGTTTTAAGCATGACAGATTAAAAGTAAAAAAAAAAAAAAATCTGGAAAATATGTACTTATTAGTGTTATTTTAGTATTTATTTTTATACTATTATAGTATTTATTAAACTTTTATTTATTTTTATTTTATTTATTTTTAGTGATTTAGCGATTTTGTCTTCTTTTTTTCCATATAGATTTAATTATGTTCATTTCAGTTTATTTGTCATAACTGTAGTATATTATATTATATGTTAGCTTATTTCAGTTAGTTGCCAAGGCAGTGTTTTTGTTTACGTTTGAGTTTTTCATCTAATATTTATATATTTTTGTCTATTTTTTTATTTACGTTTTTCATATAATAATTATGTATTATTTAATTTCAGCTTTATTTCATTTACCGAAAAAATAAATTATAGTTTTAATTAACAAATAACAACACTAGAACTTATATTAAGTACCATGGTCATTCATACTTTTTATATTGTACTAATAAGTAATATGTTAATTTCTTAGTTATGGGGTCCACCTTGACAACAGCATAAACGCAGTGCTCCGGACACGTGGCGGCGCTGTGGAGAGCTTCCCTCCCGCTTTCCGTCGCTCTTTCGCGGACTGCGTGGTGTCAGGTCGCGGCTGTCATGGCGGCGTGCAGGGCGCTCGTGAGTCGCGCTGTATTACCTCTGCATTTCCATCATGTGTGCAGGGGAGTGATGCTCACACATATCAGAGAGAAGAAGAGATGGATGAAGGCTTACACGCTCATCATGGAGAGGAAGACAAAGATGGAGGGACCTCCACCTCCAAAACCACGGTCAGTAGAACATCTCAAGGCCACTTGTGATACTCTCCGGCTGTGTCTCAAATCATAGTGAGCTGCCTACCTAGACATTATATTTCGGCGTCATAGGATTTTTAGAGCATGTCTGTGTTCCCAACAAAATGCTGTCTAGGTAGGCAACACACTAGGTTTTGAATAACAGCCAGTAAATATCAATATAAACGCATTATGTATTGATCAGTATACGGATAAATGAGATTGTTGGTGATATTTTGTGTATTTTCTTATCTCCATTTGTTTGTATTGTGACCACTAAACCTGCAGATGTGTTACCCCATGCATTCTAGTCGTTACTTTATCTTGTCATCTGTTCGGGGCTGAAATATTAGCACATTTTTAATAATTTCCTATCAATTAGCCTAAAGGCTTTTCTCTGAATGTAACAAAGTATACACTGCGGTAATGAGAATGCATGACTGATACTCGAAGAATTATTTATATTTTTACGTTTTAGACTAGGAGCATGTTGTTTTTGAAAGAAAAATTTGATGGCAGTGCATACAGTACTATTATTAATACTATTAATAATCGCTTTATGTATTCCCCAATTGTAAGTCGCTTTGGATAAAAGCGTCTGCAAAATGACTTAATGTAATGTAATTGGTTTGAGGAATATATATATATATAATAAATAGCTTATCTTATATCTTATTTTTGTCTTAGTACTTTTTGAAATGATTGGAATTGATAAACCTTCTTAAAGGGATAGTTCACACAAAAATGAAAATTCTGTCATTTAATCATTTAATTTTTTATATATTTTTTGTATTTTAATGTATAAACAAAACTTTAATGACATCAAATTACACACCTGTGTGTGTGTACTTGTTTATGCTACATTGTGGGGACCAAATGTCCCCACAAGTATAGTAAAACCTGACATTTTTTGACATTGTCGACAGTGCAAACTAGGGATGCTCCGATCCGCCTTTTTCGCCTCCAATTACCGAACTGACTGCTGTAACCGAACGCGACCAGGGTTTAAAGGCTGAACGAATGACTGACAGCCACAGCGGAGAAAAGAGTTTGTGTGAACTTTAATGTAAGGACTTAAATATTCATATGTAGCTCACATTAAGCTATCGTATGGCTTCAGAAGTTCTCGGATTTGGATCGGCCCTCTCTGACCGATACCCGATCCGAGAAAAATGGCACTATCGGAGCCGATACCCGATAAGAATATCGGATCGGCGCATCCCTAGTGCAAACAGGTTTTCTGTAAGGGATAGGTTTAGGGTTAGGGGATAGAAAATATTGTTTGGTCAGTATAAAAGTAATAGAAGTCTATGGAAAGTCCCCACAATTCACAGAAACAAACGTGTGTGTGTGTGTGTGTGGGGGGGGGGCTGCTATGTGTTATTTCATTTGCACCTCTTTAACCCTCTTTTCTCTTCCCGTCAGCTCCCAGCAGCCAAACTTTGATTATCATGCTGAAGTGGAGGCTTTCAGTGCCCGACTGCAGGAGAGTTTCTCTGTGGAGCTTCTGAAGACGGCGTTTGTGAACACGTGTTACCTGCGATCTGAGGAGGAGAGGAGGCGAGCGCTGGGCCTTGATTTGGAGACGACCACCCTCAACCTGAAAGACAACGGCAAGCTGTGTGTGCACGGTCAACAGTTCACAAAGGTGAGAACACTGATGAGTCTCATGCTCAAAAATTGGTATGATATTCACATTCCTCTCTTTCCATTGTTTTGTACAGGGTTTCCTCAGTGACTGGTGCAGGGGCAGCTTTCCCAGCCTGCCTGAGGAGGGTGTGGCAGCCGTCGTAGGCCACCTGACAGGGGCAGAGGTCATGTGTCACGTCGCACAGAACCTCGCAGTGGAGGATTTGACGATGAGTGCAGAGTTTCCTGTTCCAGATGAAACCCTGCAAGGAACGTTCTTTGCTGTGATTGGTGCTCTGGAGCAGAGCAGCGGGCCTGTGCGAGCCGGGCTTTTCATTAGAGTAAGACAAGAGTCCTCTTAAAGTTAACTTTTCATGGTTTTTTTTTTTTATATATAAAAAAATATATATATATATATAATATAAA